GGGTCCCATTAATTATTGGATTTGTGACATTCAAGGAGCGTTGCTACATCACTTCTTTATAAAACAGCAAATTATGCACCTTTTTTAGCATAATCTTATCTTTCTTGATACCTCATGTTCTTATCCATCCGTCCCCTCTTTTCTTCATGTGAAAACATTATGATGAGGGGTTTGGTTGCAATCATGATGCTTATGTTTCATGTTCATGGAATCCCACAAGAAAAAGATCAAAACCTTATAAAAACGACTTGCAGAAACACCCCGAATTATCAACTATGCATATATACTCTTAGAGCAGATCCCACAAGTATCAATGAAGATGTCGCAGGTCTTGGTCTTATAATGGTGGCTGCTGTGAAAGCCAAGGCGAAAGAAGCCATGAAAGCCATTAAAAAACTCGAGGTGTCCCGACCAGGGCTGAGAAATGCATTGAATGATTGTTCTGATAGGTACAAAGCAATTTTGGTGGGTGATGTACCAGAAGCAGAGGAGGCTTTACGAGGGAATCCTAAGTTTGCTGAAAATGGCATGGCGGATTCATCTATAGAAGCTGTTGCGTGCGAGCAAAATTTCAAGAAGGTTAAATCACCGTTAACAGGACTTAACAACGCGATGCGTGATCTCTCGGATGTTGCTAGAGCCATTATCAGAAATTTACTTTGATTGTGTGTTTGATGAAATGCACTGGACAAAGTAAAAATAAATAATTTGTCTTCCAAAAATAAACTAAGGATTGTGATGTGATTTTCCTAGTAATGGCTAAAATTATAGCATGCTTTCTTTTCTCCTTTTCCTTTGTTTGTTCTGGATTAAATAAATTTTCTCTCTCACCTTTTTTTTTTTGCCTTCACATAAGAGAATCACATCAACCGATCAATTTTAACACCTCATCTGAGCCCCCAAAACAAGGTGGAAAGAGAGTTAGATCAGACATGAGAGTGAATAAACACATATCTTCTCATAAAATCATGCTACCTTTAGCCCAATGGAGGCAGTTTCTCCAACTGGAATTTGATACCTAAACTTTTGGTTTCGCCATCAAAAATAAAAAGGGAAAAAAGAAGAACTGCTTTCATTGCAGTTTCATGGATGCTTTTTCTACCACTACAAATATATAATAAAATATTAGACATTTGCAATAGAAACATGGGGATAATATGTATACTTGGGGATAATATTGATTTAAAAAAGAAAAAATGTTGGAATTTGGTTTAGAGAATGAAAATAAAATTAAGTATGGAAAGTGACTTTTGTGTCAATTTCGATCAAATATTCGAACTTGATTCGATATTCAAATTTAGAATAGAAATAGACTAATTTGTTCTACTCGTCGAGTAGATCGTTGTAGTATATTTGAAATTTCAAAACTAATTACAGATGAATGAGAAATTATGGCTCAAAGTTGGATATAACAGAGGATATACGGACTAGAGAAATTTCTAACTCCATCGCTCGTCTATCGCTCGAGCGACAGGCAAGCGAGAGAGGCTCTGACGAAAAGGTGTCATTGGCGCTAGAGCGAGAGGTCAGCGATAGGCTAGCGGCAGCATATGCTGCGACTTTTGGCAAATGTTGCTAAGTTTAGGGCTCGGCACTTCACTCACAATATTTCCTCTGCTATAAAAAGATCATTTGGACGTCCATTTTGCATCACATATCATTTGCATTGAGCATAACATTAAAAATTCTTACAAAATACTCTCAAAAAGTCATTCTAAAATCATTTTCGTGTAGAGAAAAAAATTTGTTCTAAGTTCTTTATTGCCTGTTATTTGAAGTGCTTCTACCACAAGTTGTCTCCATTATATCTTGGGAGACAAATGCCATAGTCCATTAGCATCGTTGTAGGGCAATATTGTCTTAAAGAAAAAGTGTTTTCACTTGCCTCGAATTTCGTTCTTCACTTTTGTTTTCTTCTTCTTGCCTTCTTTATTTTATTTTTAGAGAGTTTAATTATGCTCATGCGAATTACACGTAACTATTTCCTTGTCTTAAACAACCATTTACATATACTACTGCACCAACAAACTTAAGACAATATTCGTTTGTTTGTGGTTGTTACATCATTTCTTTATCTTTAGAATAGGCTTTTGTGTGCTATTCCTTTCTATTATTATTTTTGTACGTTGTGCTTTTGTTTATAACAAAAATGAATCATGTTGAGACTACTTCGAGTCAAAAATCAAATGGTACGAACCATGTGGTTCCGCCTTTAGCTATAACTATATCAAACTCTCACAACCCACATGGGGAAAAGCAAAAAAAGTTTGTAAGTAAAAAAATTCAACAGTTTGCACATATGTAGCGAGTAGCTTCAGTATTCACCCACCATTCCTTAGTATTTCCTACTAAGTTGCATTTAGAAACGACCACTGCAAAATTTATGTCTTGTACCTTGTTAAAATGTTGTCCAGTTTTTGTTTTGTTTTATTAGCCTGAACATTTTGTCCCTTGAAACTCTTTAGCTTCTGACAACCTTAGACCGTTGTCCCACCTTGCCGCAACTATAACAGTAGTATTTGAACTTTTTAGGAGCCTTTGAAGAATGAGATTGCCCTTTCTCATTGTGCTTCCTCTTTTTGTGAGCCTTGAAACTTCATTTCACAATGTTGGTCTTTAATTCCATCAATTGAAGTGCAATCCTCCTCTTTTTAGATTTGCTATCTTCTTCTTCTATTTTCAATCGGACAATGATACCTTCAAACTTCATTTGCTTACACTTATGCTTCAGGTAATTCTTAAAGTCCTTCTATTAAAGAGGTAATTTCTCGATCAATGCAACAACTTGAAATGATTCGTTGAGTTTCATTTCTTTGGCATGGATATTATTTAGTATAATTTGAAGTTCTTGAACTTAGATATAAAGTCTTGCTTTCAATCATTGTGTGATTCAAAAAATGATCGAAAATATATTTCTTTGTGCAGCATCTTTGAGGATGACAAAAATTAAATTAGATTTGTTGAGAATGTGCTTGTTTGAATTTCATTATAAGAGCATTTACAAGATACTCCATTTTTAAAGAGCATATTCTACAATTTAGAGAGTGTCTATAAATTTAAATAGTAAAAATTTTAAGCACTCCAACATACTCTTTATATTTAACATTTCAATTTATTACTCCTTAAAAATATTTATTGGTTTTCCCTACATTTTATTTTCTTTATTGGTTTTCCCTACATTTTATTTTCACTAAGTTCCTTCAAAATTAATATATTATTTTCCTCCATTGAAAATTGAAATAATTTGAATGCATTTAATTTTAGAGAGTGAGAGCGGCATAATTTTTAGGGTTGACTCTTTGAAATAAAGAGTATCCCATGTTTAAACATCCTCTTGGAAATGCTCTAATCCCCTTATAATTTGAAGTCAAAGATTATAATTTTAACTAAACATCCATAATTACTAACCACTTATAATCTGCACATTTATTAAAACTCATTACTCTTCATTATTATCTCATTGTATCTTTTTTCACAAAACAATGCGAATTACCTTATGGAAAGTCCCATTAATTATTAGATTTGTTGACATTTAATGACCGTTTCTACATGAACTCTCTACATAACAGCAAATTATGCACCTCTTTAAGCATGTTCTTATCTTTGTGGATACCCCAATTTCGTATTCATCCATCTCCTTTTCTTCTTGTGAAAACGTTATGATGAGGGGTTTGTTTGCAATCATGATGCTTATGTTTCATGTTCATGGAATCCCACAAGAAAAAGATCAAAACCTCATAAAAACGACTTGCAGAAACACCCCGAATTATCAACTATGCATATCTACTCTTACAGCAGATCCCACAAGTATCAATGATGATGTCGCAGGTCTTGGTCTTATAATGGTGGCTGCTGTGAAAGCCAAGGCGAAAGAAACGATGAAAGCCATTAAAAAACTCATGGTGTCCCGACCAGAGCTGAGAAATGCATTGAATGATTGTTTTGATAGGTACAAAGCAATTTTGGTGGGTGATGTACCAGAAGCAGAGGAGGCTTTACGAGGGAATCCTAAGTTTGCCGAAAATAGCATGGCGGATTCATCTATAGAAGCTGTTGCATGCGAACAAAATTTCAGGAAGGTTAAATCACCATTAACAGGACTTAATAACGCGATGCGTGATCTCTCTGATGTTGCTAGAGCCATTATCAGAAATTTACTTTGATTGTGTGTTTGATGAAATTCACTGGACAAGGTAAAAAGAAATAATTTGTCTTCCAAAAATAAACTAAGGATTGTGATATGATTTTCCTAGTAATGGCTAAAATTATAGCTTGCTTTCTTTGCTCTTTTTCCTTTGTTTGTTCTGGATTAAATATATTTTCTTTTTCACTTTTTTTTTTGCCTTCACATAAGAGAATCACATCAACCGATCAATTTTAACAACTCATCTGAGCCCCCAAAACAAGGTGGAAAGAGAGTTAGATCAGACACGAGAGTGAATAAACATTATACATATCTTCTCATAGAATCATGCTACCTTTAGCCCAATGGAGGCAGTTTCTCCAACTGGAATTTGAGATACCTAAACTTTTGGTTTCGCCATTAAAAATAAAAAAGAAAATAGAAGAACTGCTTTCATTGCAGTTTCATGGATGCTTTTTCTACCACTACAAATATATAATAAAATATTAGACATTTGCAATAGACACATTGAGATAGTTGGGACAACTGTACTACTGGCCGTATACTTGGGGATAATATTGATTTTAAAAAAATGTTGGAATTTGGTTTAGAGAATGAAAATAAAATTAAGTATGAAAAGTGATTTTTGTGTCAATTTCAACAAAATATTCGGACTTGATTCGATATTCAAATTATGAATATAAATAGATTAACTTATTCTACTCGTCGAGTAGATTGTCGTGTTATATTTGGAATCTCAAAACCAATTTCAGATGAATGAAAAATTACGGTCCAAAGTTGGATAAAAAAGAGGATATTGGAGCTTCAAAGATGGCTAACTCCGTCTCTTGCCTGTCACTCGAGCGAGCTCAAGCGACAGTCTAGCGATAGGCGAGCGAGAGAGGTTCTGATGAAAATGTGTCACTGTCACTCGAGCGATAGGCTAGCGACATCAAATGCTGCAACCTTTGGCAAAGGTTGTTGAGTTTGGGCGTGTGGCACTTCACTCACAACATTTCATAATCTATAAAAAGGATCCTTTGGACATCCATTATGCATCATATATCATTTGCATTGAGCATAACATCAAAAACTCTTACAAAATACTCTCCAAAAGTCATTCTAAAACCATTTTCGTGTACAGAGAAAATTTCGTTCGAAGTTCGTTGTTGCTTGTGATTTGAAGTGCTTTTACCACAATTTGTATTCGTTGTATCTTGGGAGACAAGTGCCGTAATCTATTAGCATCGTTGCAGGGCAATATTGTCTTAAGTAGAAAATATTTTCATTTGTCTCGGATTTCGTTATTCACTTTTGTTTTCTTCTTCTTACCTTCTTTATTTCATTTTTCTAGAGTTTAATTACGCTCATGTAAATGAAACTTAACTATTTCCTTGTCGTAAACAACCATTTATATATACTACCACACGAACAAACTTAAGACAATATCCGCTTGTTTGTGGTTGTTACATCATTTCTTCATCTCTAGAATAAACTTTTGTGTGGTATTCCTTTCTTTTATTATTTTTGTACGTTGAACTTTTGTTTATAATAAAAATGAATCATGTGGAGACTATTTTGAGTCAAACAACAAATGGTACGAACCATGTGGTTCCGCCTTTGGTCATACTTATATCAAACTCTTACATCGCACATGAGGAAAAATCGAAAAAGTTTGTAAGTAAAAAAATCCAACAGTTTGCACATATGTAGCGAGTAGCTTCAGTATTCACTCACCATTCCTTAGTATTTCCTACTAATTGCATTCAGAAACGACCATTGCAAGATTTATGCCTTGTACCTTGTCAAAAGGTTGTCATGTTTTGTTTTATTAGCTTGAACATTTTGTGCCTTGAAACTCTTTAGCTTCCGACAAACTTGGACCGTTGTCCCACCTTGCCGCAACTATAACAGTAGTATTTGAACTTTTTAGGAGCCTTTGAAGAATGAGATTGCCCTTTCTCATTGTGCTTCCACTTTTTGTGAGCCTTGAAACTTCATTTCACAATGTTGGTCTTTAATTCCATCAATTGAAGTGCACCCCCTCCTCTTTCAGATTTGCTATTCTCTTCTTCTATTTTCAATCGGACAATGATACCTTCAAACTTCATTTCCTTACACTTATGCTTTAGGTAATATCTCAATCAATGTAACAACTTGAAATGATTCGTTGAGTTTAATTTCTTCGGCATGGATATCATTTAGTATAATTTGAAGTTCTTGAACTTAGATATAAAGTCTTGCTTTCAATCATTGTGTGATTCAAAAAATGATCGAAAATATATTTCTTTGTGCAGCATCTTTGAGGATGACAAAAATTAAATTAGATTTGTTGAGAATGTGCTTGTTTGAATTTCATTATAAGAGCATTTACAAGATACTCCATTTTTAAAGAGCATATTCTACAATTTAGAGAGTGTCTATAAATTTAAATAGTAAAAATTTTAAGCACTCCAACATACTCTTTATATTTAACATTTCAATTTATTACTCCTTAAAAATATTTATTGGTTTTCCCTACATTTTATTTTCAATAAGTTCCTTCGAAATTAATATATTATTTTTCTCCATTGAAAATTGAAATAATTTGAATGCATTTAATTTTAGAGAGTGAGATTTTCATAATTTTTAGGGTTGATTCTTTAAAATAAAGAGTATTCTATGTTTAAACATCCTCTCGGAGATGCTCCAATCCCCTTATAATTTGAAGTCAAACATTATAATAATTTTAACTAAATATTCATAATTACTAACCACTTATTATCTGCATATTTATTGAAACTCATTACTCTTCATTATTATCTCATTATATCTTTTTTTCACAAAACAATGTGAATTACTTTATGGAAGGTCCCATTAATTATTAGATTTGTTGACATTTAATGATCGTTGCTACATCAACTCTCTATATAACAGCAAATTATGCACCTCTTTAACCATGCTCCTATCTTTGTGGATATCCCAATTTCGTATTCATCCATTTCCTTTTCTTCTTGTGAAAACATTTTGATGAGGGGTTTGTTTGCAATCATGACGCTTATGTTTCATGTTCATGGAATCCCACAAGAAAAAGATCAAAACTTCATAGAAACGATTTGCAGTAACACCCCGTGTTATCAACTATGCATATCTACTCTTAGAGCAGATCCCACAAGTATCAAAGAAGATGCAGTAGGTCTTGGTCTTATAATGGTGGCCGCTGTGAAAGCCAAGGCCAAAGAAACGATGAAAGCCATTAAAAACTCAGGGCTTCCAGACCCGACCTCAAAGATGCATTGCATGATTGTTCTGAGAGGTACAACGCGATTTTGGTGATTGATGTACCACAAGCAGATGAGGTCTTAAGATGGGATCCTAAGGTTGCTGCAAATAACATGGCAGATTCATCTATGCAAGCTGGTGTATGAAAAGAGCAATTTGAACTAGGTTAAATCACCGTTAACAGGACTTAACGACGCGATGTATGATCTCTGTGAAGTTGCTAAAGCCATTGTTGGGTTTTGATACCCAATAAATTCGGGCAATAATGTAAAATCGATATTGGATAAGTATTATAATCTACACCTAAGATTGACGACCCGACCCTAAAACTATTTGGGGTCATTGGAAGCAGTCTAATTGGTTAGAGTTGCTCGTGGCCCGGTCCCTCACTTAGTGGATGGCTTATTTGGCCCATTTAGTGTTTTCTTGTTGGGCTGGCCCATTTCTGTAACCTAAGTGATCCTATATATTTCATTTATTCATGGCTTTGTCATTTGAAGAGTGTTTTGCCCCTTTTGCTTGAGAGAGACACACGGCTACTTCCTTTTGAGCTTTGTGCTTCCGGCTAGTAAGTTATCTGCTCATCTTCTCATTGTTCTAAGCCTTTGTGGTTTCTACTTTGGGGCTGCAAAACATCTTCCCTTTGTGTCCTAAGTGGGTACATTGAAAGCAACCGAAGAGAGGAATAGTGGAAAGGTTTTGGGTCGATTACTTGGGTGTCCATTGGTTGGTTAACTGAGCCCGGAAATTGGTGATTGGAGTCACAAATTCTTACAGCCATTATCATAAATTTACTCTGATGGTGCGAAATGCAATATTAGATAAAGTAAAAGAAACTTAGATTTTGTCTTCCAAAAAATAAAATAAGGATGGTGATTCCTAATAATTATATGCTTTTTGTGAATTTGATTTCTCAGTGTTAATGGCTAAAATTGTAGCTTTCTTTCTTAGCTCTTTTTCCTTGCTGTCCTGGCCAGATGCAGTGTAAGGCCAGGACACACGATATTAGACTGTAGAACTGAAAATATAAAGTGCAGAAAATTAAAGAATCAACACAAGAATTGTTTTGGCCTAAGCCCCG